ATCTGCAGCAAAGGTGCTGCAAGATACTGCAAAGGAAGAAGGTCTGAAAGGACTATGAATACATGTCCCATCAGCCTCTGGATTCAAAGTGTAACAAGATGGAGAGGACTATCTGGGAATAATAATCCACTAAAATCTTCACATGGTATTTAATTTGTGAATCAGAAAATAAAAGAGCCCACACTGTAAAACCTCAGTGGTTCCTGTTGCTTGTTGGGTGCCTCAGTGAACACTGGGAGTTTGAGACCTGTGCCCACTTGGAACTGCAGTGCCTGCTCACAGAAGGGTTAATCCTGTGCTGGATCACACCGGGTTACGGTCCCCCCTGGGGCTTTATGAGACATACAGCACTGCCCAGTGTTCACAATGGCTTTTTTCTTTTTTTTAACTCTATTACAGTACAAAAGTTATCTTCTAACCACAAACACAAAATCCTGTAATTAAGCCTTTGTTACCCACAGCAGAGTGCTCATCATGTATACAAAGCAAACGTTTAGGCAAGTTTATTATGCTCCTTGAGACTAAGAGGGAATTAATGGCATTGCAAAATTACAGCAAGCTGCTTGCTACGCTGCTGCTGGGTATTTTCACTGGCAACAAGATTTTATATTCTTCTTCATCTTGAAAAAAAATGCAACAGATTTAGTAAACTTTTTTTACTGTCAAAAGCAACGCAGTGCAAAACACCATATAAAAGTAAAGGCCAGAGGGATAGTTTGGCCTTAAAAATTTATTATACTTTTCTGTACGTTAAAAATAATTTAGTTGTGAGTTTTTACTTAAAATTACTAAACATTAGGAGGTAACTAATTAGGATAAGCCAACTAGTAAACTACGTAAATCATCAAATCTAGAGATTTTGCACTGAAAGACTCCTAATGTGTGATTTTGTTTGCATTGTGCACGGTCCTTCACCGCTGGGGAGGACAACTGCTTGCAGACCATCACCTCGCTTGTTAAACAGAAAGCCAAAATGTCTCATGCAGCACTTCTGGGAGAGGAAACTTCTATATTTCAAGTCCATTTTGTTGTTGTTCTTTGACTGTAATTCAAACTGTGTTGGTTTATGCGCATGAGTCACAAACACAGGGTGAACTTTTCCATTTTATTTCCCTGTTAGATGTTATACACCAACAATACAAACTGCAGCTGCCTGAGCGAAATGGATCAGCCTGAGTCAGTCATACTGCTTCTCAGCTGGAAAAGCACAATGACGTTCTTAGGAAAGCTGATCAGATCTGAAAGGCTTTTCTGGGGATATTGAGTGTGAAACAGAAATCATTGTTCATACAGAGAAAAAAAAAAAAACAAACCTTTATTTGCATCATTCCATTGCCACAAGTGAGCCATTTGACCCAAAAAGAATACATGGGCTCTAAAACTGTTTTCTGCTTACCTGTTGACAAGACAGCTATAGCAAGACCTACCTGCATGACCCTTTAACTTAGAATGAAGAAATGAGGGTACAGACCAATGCCACGAGAAAATAAAAATCACCCTAGCTGTTAGATCAGAAATCCAGGTAGCCAAGTGTCTTCTATTGCACAAAGGCCAGGGCCATTGACAGTGGTTGGAGAATATGAAGAGGACAAGTCCACCAGTCACACTGCCTCCCAAAGCCTTTTGCCATGTCCCAAGCTGTCACAAACCGGTATCGAAGGGGTACCGAGTCAGGTTGTTTGTGACTTTAATTAGGGGAAAAAGATTGAGGTCGAGATGTCCACATGGCACTCGTGTGTGAATTAGAAAATATTTAGGAGATCAAAAATAATTCCAGAGTAAAAGTTTATTAATATATAGATGATATATTGGTGGGAGAGTCAATGGAAGTAGAAGTTAAAACAGTGTATGATATTATAATCAAACACTTGATTGATGTATAAATAGAAATCCATGAGGAAAAAAGACAACCCCCATCTCAAGAGGCAAAAGCCAAGGCCCCAGCTTTCATGTTGAGCAGCACTTGATGGATTTTCTCTTCCATTGATTGATCCATCTGCTTTTTGGAGTGAGCTAAACCTTTGGGGTCTACAACCTCCTATGGCAATCAGTTCTAGCGTAAGAATGCATTGTGTGAAAAGAGGCATGCCATGTTACCACTTCTCTGAAGCATATTTTGAGATACTTAAATTCCTCCATAATTATGGCTGAATTGGCCAAGATCCTGAGTTTGTTTCATGTAGGCCTGAGAAGCCTGTGAGGCTGCAGTCCCATTGCCTTGGTGGCTGGGTGAAGGTTACTCTTGGGCTCGTAAGGATCCACAAAGCTGGCTGTCACTGCTTACGGCAGGAATTTGCACCCACTTGGTGCTAAAAACCAAAAGTGAGTTGGGCCAGCAGAAACCCTGCAGCAGCAATGCCTGGACCACATCGCAACCAGGGGCAGAAGGCATGCTGATGTCCAGCCTGTGCTTCCTGCCTCGGCATACTCCCAAATTCAGATGCCACATACGGAGTAGGGCTGCGCTCTATGAACAGCTGGTCACCCCTTCACCTCCTCTCCTTGACATGTCTGCAAGAGGGGTGGATGTGGGTCTTGTTCTCCTGGAGACTGTGCAGGTCTTGATGTGATACCTTCAACTTTATCTCAGTTATTCCTGAGTATCCAACTTTGAAAACAGGAGATGGTCCAAGAGGTTTGTACTCTTCCTCATACAGCTGCACAGGTCATGGCCCAGGAATCCAGTCATGATTCAACAGTTTTAATCATTTTAAACAGGGAGAGATCTGTAAAGACAGGCTGTACTTTCAGCTACATCTTCTGAAAACACTGTGCTCTTTGCATGGAGTGGCAACAGTTAGAGAATACAAATTTGTTCTTTTCTAAATATATTTTATATTCCTTTAACATAGAAACTGTTTTTTCCAAGATTGTTTTGAAAGGTAATAGCATATCTTAAAATTATACTTCATGCTAATTAGTTATTACCGAAAGGGTGTTTTGAAGAGAGGGAGTTAAGATGTTTTTCACTGTATCTGAAAAATGTACCGATTTCTACTGTAGGTTTTAGAGAATGATTTTAATACAAAAAAAAACCCCACTTGAGATTAAGGACTGTGCATGCTGGCTTATGAGGGAGCAGTGTGAAAGCTGCTTGCACAACCAACCTACAGGCAACTGAGCCCAAGGCTGCATGTCCTGTAATTCAGTCACTATTTCTGTTGTGGATGTGTTTAACAGAGAGCTGTCTTGCCACTTCTGATTTCAGCAGGTAAGCCCAGCCTGCCTGTTGTGATCTGCACAGAGGAGAGCCTGGGACAGCTGGAGGAACGCGTCTGCACGGGGACCGCTGACGGACCCTGATGGGCTGGAGCGGGTCTGTGCAGCGGCTGCATCGGGCCCTCAGCTGCTGGGCAGGCTGATGTCAGCAGCCATGCAGGCTCACTGGCTTCACCCAAAGGCTTGGGCAAATATAAAACTTGCTCTTGCTCCTCCTGTTTTCAGTGTTGAAAGAGAACCTGTCTGAAAACTGTTATCAGCCACTTGGATATTTACATGTTCCAGTGCCCTGTTTCTTTATCTGGTACAAAACGCAGTTGTCATTCCTGAGGGAGCTCAAGTTTTCCTCCCCACCTCCTTAGAGAAGACTTCAAAGCTGCAGATGTGTGTGTTAGTGTTCCTCAAACCACAACAGTTAGGAAACCAAAGGATCCCTGCATTTTTTCCAAAAAGAATGTTAATGGGACAAGAAAAACAAAATCACAAATATAAACATAAATAAAACTAGGGAACACAGTGCTAAGGTGGCTACTTCACATGCACACACCCCAAGTGAAATGCTTGCCTGAAGTGGGGCATTTATTTTCAAGAAAGCCCCTGAGAGGGTTCATCATTTACTTCCTTAACTCACAGAGAAGTGTTAAAATACGTTCAGGGTGATTTTGGTCAATCAGCAGCAACGGTTTCCCCTGTCAGACTTGTTAAACCAGTGATGGTGAAAAGCTTATGAGACTTCTAGAGTGTGAGTCCCAAACTGGTGGGGGAGACTCAGGCTGATGAGTATGAGAATTTTATATAAAGGTAATAAAGTACAGATATGCTATATGTTACTGATTTTTAATGAAAATTAAGAAAATGTAGGGGGTCATATGTGAAGCTGATGCTGCAATGAAGTTCACAGTTCTTACCAGCATTTCAGTTTGGACTCTAGCTCAAGGCTTTAGTTCTTATTTTTTAGCTACATTCATGTTGTCCATTGCTACTAGTACTATCTTCCTAATTGAGAATGATGATTTCACATAAAGGAAACCCAGTTGCAACCAGACAAATTCATGTAGGAAAGCAACTGTGAATGCATTGATGAGCTTCCAACTGCCATTCAGTTTCCTTACTGCTCGCCTGCTTGCAAACACTGTGCATCCAAGGCTGCTCACAGAAGGAGCTGAGGAATTCTTATTCGTGGTCATGCATAAATGTGCATATTTGTGCCTCATGAAATGTAACCTAAGCCCAGAATCTGGGCCGCCTGGCTCAGCTCAGCAAACACGCAGCTCAAGCAGCACATTTCAGTGGAGTACTCAATAGCGGCTATTCAGGAATACTCCATGGGCCAAACAGCTCTGACAGAAAGTGTCAGCTGCCTCCAGTGAAACACATCAACAGAATCAGGATGTTAGTGCACAGTTTATAAACGTAAACAGAGAAAACCAGAACAAACAGAAGTTTCCAGCAACAACAAAAGTTGCAAAGTTTAGCAAAGATCCCGCTTTGACGGAAGCATCATTAAAAGCAGAAAACGCGGGAAATACGTAAGGCAGAAGTTTTATTTTCCAAAGTGTAAGTACGTCCTTAGCATCAGTTAAGTAATCCTTTGCCATGGCAGTCCTGATTGCTACAAAGTTGAAGGTAAACTTTTTGACTGCACCTATTGCACACTTTCTCCACAGCTGTGTGACAAAACCCTTCTGCATGGAGAGATTCTTCACTGTCATTAGCGGGGCTGTAGAAGGTCTGTTAAGCAGTTGACTCAGTTATGAAGGATGCCATTTGTCTGCATCATTCTATTTTATAATCTGTGGCATATCACTCCAAGCTTGCGATTTCTTTTTGGCCAGTTCCATCCACGATGGTTGATCTGGAGCAGCGTTACTGGCTTTTTTCAAGTGGCTTATTTCCTCTTTATCCTCCAGTGCTGGTGAAGGAGCTACTGGGAATGAAACATACGGGCATTTTACGTTCAGGTGCTGTGCAGCTGTACAGCCTAATTCTCTCATTAAAAACTTCCCATGCCTTGCCCTATGCTAGAAAATCTCTACATTTCTCATAGAAGCTTCTTCTGCAATATTTTACTGAGGCGATAACCATAATGGTCTTCAAAAGAATACAATGTTTTTCTCATCACTAGTATCTTTTGGACCCTAAATTTACTAAAAGCAACATGTCTTAACACTCAGGCCAAAGAACAGAGTCTTCTCATTAGCAAGAGCATTCATTTGTGAATTCCTCCTTCACCCAGCCCTCAGGAATCTCATTCCCTTCAACACTTCTGCCCTTCTTTCAAAATTGAATTTATCAAAGAGATGTGAAGTTCTTGTGTGAGGACTGATGGGCAGACAGTTTGTGATGGCATCCTTACAGCTTTCCGAGGAAACCACACTAAAACTGAATGCCATTGAAAATTATTTTGTGCATATTTTACATTTTACTCTGGGACAGTGCATTTGGGACTCTGCCCTCTGAAATGGTCTAGCACTCTCAATTCACATTACTTTCAACATGAGTTTTGATTACTCTGTAGTCTAAGGGGTCAAAAGAATATGCCACCAAATAAAACCCCAGATGTGAGTGCTGAGAAAAGAGTTTGCCCTTGCTGGTGTGGGGATGGGGAAGAGATTAGGATCTAGCCCCTACTCCTTCTTCAGCACACTCAGGCAGGATTTCTTCTGACCAAGCTGTGAGATAAGAGTCTACATATTAAGTGTTTTGTCTCCTACCAGGGACATAATGTGATAGTGAATTGGTTCTCAGCAGCGGCTCCTTCACTTCAGACTTTGTCTCTTTCTTCTGTTCTTCAGAAGCGGTTTTAGGTGCCAAGTGTGCTGGTTTGCTCCATTGCTGCTTCACTGACCCCTAGGCACAGAGAGGGATAAAATCCAAGTAATGCAGAGAGAGTAAGACCTGTTTGGAAGAACATGTGCAAAGGGCGTGGACGTGGTGCCTGTCACAGTCCAAAGACCGTGCATGCTCCTCCCACCTTGGTCCCAATCCTCTCATTGGGCCGCCATCTGTTCAGAAAGCTCCAGTGTTTCATGTTAGCATCTACAACACTCAACTTTACAAATTAAAACTATCCCTCTGTATCTTTTATTCATAATTGTATCTATGAGTAGGTTATTATAGTCTCCAACGGAAAATGTATTCCAACCCCTTGGCACACCTCTACTAACATACACAGGATTTGGAAACAGCCTTGTTCTCTCATGTTTCCCTTCCACCTCCCAGATTTTGTGGATTAGGGCACTGCATTTTTGGACAGTTGACAGTAAATGGATTTTCCATAAAAAAAGAAATTGAACACGAGAAAGAAATCCCATGGATTTTCTTGCCAGTATCAAAAAGTACCCTGAAGTGAGAGGGCCTGGAGCCATGTGGGAGAAGGAGAGAGTGGGAGTACAGTGGCACCAAGCCTCAGGCGCTGCAGTCGGGAGCATCCTGGCATGTTTCTGTTAGCTGATATAAGGAAATTAAATGCATGGCATGAATTTTAGGGAACACTGCCAGCTAAAATCTGGACTTTCCTATTCTGACAGAGAAACTGTATTTTGGGATCATTTAAACTCTTGGTGTTTTAAGTGCCATGACAAAGCTGAGCATTATTGCACTTCACAGACTTGCCTGAACATCTTATTAGGGGGTATTTCATGTTTATCTAACCACTGCTATTTTTCATCATCTAGAGATCCTCTTATTCCAGGATGCAATACAGCTGTCTGGGTTTTTAACAGTACCATCTGAAGCAAGGAAGTAGGCCATTGGCACTGGGAATGCCATACTGGAATAGGACACACATCCCCTGCATCCGCACAGGGCTCTTGCTGTGCAGGAGGGGATAACAGGCAGCACTCGCAGGCAGGCTGCTGCCTCTGTGAGCCAGCCCAGCACCAGGGAAGCCTTGTTAGCATTCTGCACTAACACCAACCACTTCTGCTGGCACACGTTTCTCATCTGGGGAGATCACTTGCTACAGATATCACCCTCTTTTGCATGGGGCCTTTGAAGAGGCAGCGTCAGCCTGTGTTCCATGGCACCACATGGGCGTCTAAGTTACCCGTATACAGAGAACCAGAATTTATATCTTGGCACTGTCTGCAAGTGCAAAAGTTATTTTTATCCTCTTTCACTTCTCAAGGCTCTAAAAATTGTTACCTAGGAGCTTCTGGGACTGAGCTGTTCATTCAGTGTTAAATCAGTCAGGAGGCATAGGAGGTTCAAGGAAATGCTGTTCTTAGAAGGAAAGTTAAAGAGAATGTATTCCCTCTGTATTGAGAGAGACTTGAGACTGTACAATTTAGCACCTCATTTTGGGTATTCTAGCATGGAATACACACACTGGATCTGCTAAGTATGTATCCAGCACACAAGAAATTTGACACAACTCACATAATCCCAGGATTTCTTGGAGATACAAAATTACATATCTGAACAAACAGAGAACCCTGAATCTGTAACACGTTGCCAAGAGCAGTGTCTTTGTTACTCGTGATTATATTCATTAACTCTCTGTAATTGTTATGGCATGACATGATAGAGCAGTAGATCCAAAGAATACGACAGGAAGGTGACATGAAAGCATCACAGATTTGTACTCTAAGTACCTCTGTTCGTTCCTTCTCTTTATTCTGCTTCTCTGTATCCGACTTAACATCAGGAGCCACTTGTTTCTCTCTGTTGAGGCCCTGCTCCTGCTGCATGCCCTTCTGCCTCTGCCTGGCTATGGAAACCCAGGCTGGCTCTGCAGACGACTCGGGATCTCTTGTGGAGTTGCCAGCAGCCACAGGGGAAGGTACACTTCTCTCTGTTGACAGATTATTTATGTACATGGTTATACGACAGAGTTGTAATTAGCTCCATCTCACACTTGCTCAATATGCTGACTGGTCCCAGGGTGTGTGACCAGCCTGGGTGAATAGGAATTCTGTTTAGTTTGCTCCAGAGAGCAATCCTCCTGTGCTCACTAAGTGACCACTCTGCTGGTGAAAAATGCTTTGCATCTTCATTCAGCCAGAGTCAGTGTCACTGCCCTCACGTGAGGGAGATGCAGAAACATTAATTAAGCTTCATTAGTATTTTCCAAGGTCTCCCCTTCTGCTCCCTCCTCCCACCTGCTTCATGGCCTCCTAGAGACAAGAGCAGCCGACTCAAAGCTGGCCACAGGTAGACCCCAGTGTGGCACAGGCTGTCCCCTCCCCGCCGTGGCTGCCTTCGGGCAACGCTCTTGCCATACACCCGACGACAGGCGGGCCACAGGTAGCCCCCAGGGTGGCACAGGCTGTCCCCTCCCTGCCGTGGCTGCCTTCGGGACACGCTCTTGCCATGGCCATGCAGCAGTAGCTGATGCCTTGCTCTGGTTCCTACCTTCTGTGCAGTTGAAGGGAGGAACAAGAACAGTGCTAACACCCTTAGAGACACGTTAGAAGAACATAAGGAAAGACAACTCAACCTTTCCCAGCTGTTTCTGGCCACTAAAGTACCTAAGTTTATGGAAGGCTATTTCAGAGCAGAAGTTAAGCTTCTCATCCTCAACAGGCACAGTCCTACTCCTAGGAAGTTTGTTACCTGGCCAGCATCCTGTTCGGGGTCCCAGGAGGAGGCAGACCAAGTCAAGAGGGATTACTGCCCCAGAGTCCCTTGGGGCCCAGCTGCTGTGCTGCCGTAGTGCTGGGACACCACACCACAGGACCCTGTGGAGCTGTCAGGCCCATTTCTGGAGGGCTACAGTCTAATTTAGAGGAACATGGCCCCGATCAGGAAAGCAGGCAAATGTCTCTGAAGGCATATTTGAGATGCCTCATAAAGGCATGAGAGATGAAAGGGATAATGTTCTCCCAAGAACTGGAGTCTGCAAACGCAGACACATGAAAGCCCACAAACTTTCTTTGCTCAGGGATTCTTCTCAAGTCACTGTTGTACCTCACCAGAGACAGACTAGCTATTTGAGCAACAAAATATTGTAAAGCCTCTGTCAGCTAAAAACCACAAAAGAGAAAGCACAAGTTTTGCTTTAAGGCCAAGGCAAGATGTTTTGCCAGCTCATGTCTGTGTTTCCCTTCATATTCATCTCATGTGATCTTGCAGAGAAACCTCTGCAATTCACAAGCCAGAATGTCCAGCTGTGCAAATGCAGCACAGATAAAGCAAGGCCCTTGGATGCTGAACGAGCTTCTCCCCCTCCTGCATGGCAAGCTACTTCAACCCTTTGCATCCCACCTATGCCCCTTCCTTCCATACCAACAGCTGTTTCTCCCATAAACTTCTTCCCGTCTCTCCAGTGGCTGCCCTCACTTCATTTTGTCCAATTTTAGAGGCTGATAGAGAATAAGGCTGGGAAAGATCTCAAGATGTGATCTAGCCTATCCTTCAGCTGCAAGGCAAGATCAGTTACAAGAGCAATGCCACATGAACTGTTTCCTGAGAAATACGTATCTAACCTGTTCTCAAACCCCTCAAAAGGCAGGACAGATTTCAGTCTCCCTAGAGAACCTGTCCTATGGCTTGGCTGTACTTCTACCCAGTTTTTTCACTATTGGTTAAGTTAAACCTTCCCTGCTCTAATTTGAATCCCTAACTTCTTGCTTTTGTGGGAATTTTCTTAATTTGGTCCAAATTTTCTTCAAAATAAGGTGCTCAAAACTGGTACATAGCACCTGACATGAACTGGTGCTAGCATCGAGTGAAGTGGAAGGACTACCCCAATTCACCTGAGATGGTCTCCTGTATGCACCAGTCAGTACCACGAGCTCCTTGCATAATTTTGTTATTCCAGTTTTCTGTTTACTTTGTGAGCTCCAGATTGTGTTGTTTCCCCTCCTCCATTCCTGTGCATTGGATTATTTTTTCACACATAATGGAACTTTCTACTTCTCTGTAATGAAAATATTATTTTCAAACTATGTTTCTACTTTCTCAAGATACCCTGGTTTCTATTCTTGTCCTCCAGTGTGCCCACAGGCTTTCCAACTTGGTAACACTTGCAAATGTAATAAGCACACGTTTTTTTCTATTACCTTTGTGCCTAAATACACTGAACAGTGTCAGCCCTAAGATGGCCACTATCTAATATGACAGTGAATCACGGGTTGGAACACTTGGTAGCTTTGCATCAACCCAGTGAGCAGCTTTTTTGTACTTATAGGTATATAATGACATTTATAGGAACGCCCTGTGATACCAGTTATCACTTGATTTGACTGCTCTTGACGAAGTTATGTTGGTTGGAACGTATATCTATGTTATCTTATAGACATTTGGAAATAGCTCCATTACTCCTTTCAGTATTTCATATTAAGTGGTATATAACACACTTTCTCTCTCTTCTTCACCTCACCTCCCTTTTCAAGATGTACCACCTTCTGGAGACATCCCTTGTCTTCTGCAGTTTGCCAAAATAACCACTAGCAGCTGAAGGAATAGTGCTAACCCATCTTCTCTGAGTATCTTAGCACAAACTTCATTAGGAGCTTCATAAATAAATCCAAAGAGTTGAGTTGATGTCTGCTAATGCACCTGCTATCACGTTCCCTCCTTTGCTTGTAGACCATGCCCTTGAACCCATCTGCACCTTTTTAAGTCATGAACAATTTGGGCAGGCCCTGCCAGGGCACTGCTCAGCAAAGCCAGGTGCCACGCTTCATCAGTTCCCAAAGCACTACTGTGATACACAGACTAACTGCCACCACTCAAGGTGGTGGTGATGGCTAGTGTTCCTCAGAGGTGAGCATCCCTCACTCAGTACACAAAGCAGCTTTTCACTTTAGTTGCCTTCTGTCTAAAGTAGTCACCTCATTTTCCTAATGTCCTGTAATGCAAACCCATCCAGCAGTTATGCTTGATATTACAAAGATGTTTCCCCATTGAAGCCACCCTGTGCCCTGCTAGACTTCTGCAAATCCATCACAACAAAGAGACCCTCTTCCCCTGTGTACAGGCTTCTCAGCCCAGAAAAGACAGGGCTGCTTCTCTGACTGCACAGCTACAGACACACCAGCACACATGTCCCCTTCCACCTCCGCTTACCTTCCCTCACTGTCTGCAATGTCTCAGCTCAGAAAGGCCAGCATCTTCACCCTGAAGGCCCTTTTCAATCCACCCATGCTTTCCCCTGATACTGGGAACCAGGCTTTGGCCTTGATGATGCTAGTGATGTATTTCTTAGTCTCTGTGATTCAAAATCACCCTTTGTGCTTTGTCCCACTTCCCTGTCACACCACAGGAACTTTCTGTAAACACTGGTGGAACTACACGTTGTTCCTCCTCTGCTCCCCCCACACAATCAATACTGATAAAATGACTGCTATGCCCAGGCTCTGTTTACTGAGCAACATGTCATGGCCTTGTTGCTACCTGTGCTCCTGCTTCTCTGTCATCCTCATGGATTTAGGATTCATCTTTCTGTAATTTCATGTGCATTACCTAGCACAACAGGGTTCCCAGTCCTGCAGTGATCTGTCTGGAGGCTGCTGTTATAACAAGGTTTTTCATAAGACAGATACTCTAACAAAGGCATCAAGCACTTCTGCTCTTCAGACAGTTCTCCCTGATGAGACGCCAGACATCCTAGTCATGCCAATTAGAAGGCAGCCAAATTAGAGCCAAGTATCATCCCAGAAGAGATGGTATCAGAATGTCTCTGTGATAGTAGGGATCAAAAGCTCTTTATCATCATCTTAAAGGTTTTATATCTGTCTGTATGGGCCTGACTTAGGACAGCAGAGTGGTGTCATCTACAGAGGACCAAGAGCTGATCTGCTTTTGGGAGGGGCTTTCTCGTCTCTTTAAGCAACTGCATTCCACCTTTGTTGTGTGAGAGTCCTTGCAGCAGAAAGCTGGGCAGGCAGGCAGGGAAGTGCCTTCTCTTCAGCAGAAAAACATCAGAGGCAGCCCATGCAGGATCTGCTACCTCATCTATCAGCCATAATTACTGCAAGGGGTAGAATAGGCATATTCACTGTTTATTATCTTTCCCATTGCCCAGAGGTTCTTTACATCCTCCCACCTCCAACTAGAGAAGGTTTCTTGGCTGTATACACACACCGTTGTTCGAGCCAGAAGGATGAAAGGTGGTGAAGTAATCCAGGAGATAGTATGGTGAAGTGAGTCAGCAGTTTGAAGTGATCTGAGACTCTCCTATGAAGCTCTTGGTACCCTCAGGGGCACCAAGAGGCCAAAAGCTTTCTCAGGAAGCAACTGTTCACAAGAGAAGTGCTGCATGCACATCTTCCTCAGTTCACAGACTGCTTGACTCCCTTGAACAAGCCCTCCCTGTCTTATCTAACCTGGTCATGAGACAGTCCGTGTGCTTTCACGGTTCACCATGTGGCAAAGCACAGCCTTTAAGGAACTGGATATCCAGAGTGGAAACAAAAGTGCTCAAAAGCACAATCTAATTCCTGCTTCTGCTGCACATCACGTGTACAGCAGCTACTACAACAGTTCCCAGATGGTAAATGCCACTTTCAGGGCGACAGAGTAGTATGAAATGCAAGCAGTGGCATCTTCTGTCAGAAGCCATCTGAGTTTGAAGCCACAGCTGCCACAAACACCCCGTGTTTCACTTCTCTGGCAAAGCAGAGCTGAGCCTCTTGTCTCCACATTACACTTGGGAGAGTTTCTGAATAAAACTAAAATCTGAATCGCATTCTTCAGTTCTTATTACTGCATGTTATTTTAAACAATATGCTATTCAACTCATTACCTAACAACTTCATAAGCTAATAGAGGATATTGCTGGCAGCAATTTGTCTCTCGTTCCCTCACGCTTTTAACCTCGTGATTGCATCTTTCCCCAGTTTCCTTGGAGCTGGCCTGGCCTCAGGCTTTTTGAAAGACAAGCAAGCCCCTTCTCCTTAGGATAAGTCACCAAAAATGGGAAGATACCAGGTCAGAACTTGTCAAACCATCAAGCTGCTCTGTGCACAATGTCACCAGGTATTAAAACTAACATTTAACATAGGCTGCCAAGGTCTTCTGCTGCCAGTTGAAACCACACCCAGAGGCTGCTGAAGCCTTCCCTTCATGTCTTTCCCACAGCCACATGGACAGTCACAAGACCAGCTGCTCTGTCTGCGTTCTTCATCACTTCTGCAGCATCCAGAATGACCACTGAGGACAAGCCCTGAAGCCAAGTGAACCACAGCCACCTTCTCCATTCCATCCCTCCCACAGATCTTCTCTTCTCCACTGAGTCTGACGGTGGCAGGGCTGGCTGCCTCAGTGGTCCCTGAGGGGGGAAATTCCACTGCTGCAGGCCCATTAAATGCAGGTATCTGTTTCCTTCAGTACCTTACTAAAGCAGCATTTGAGTTATTTTTTTCTCAGGCTAAAGCTCTGATCTTATAGATGAAACTTCATCTGCCCAAATACTGCAGAAATGAATGTGTACACTCCTCACTGATAGTTGGGTATTATCCTTTAATGTGTATCAGACTGGTTGTGTGAACAGTAAGGTGAAGATGAAACATTAATCTTTATGTACAAAATGAGGTCTATAACTGGCTTGTTATTGTGCATTGATTTATACACACACAGAGAAAGTGAATGAGAAATATGTATCTAGTTCTGTCTACTGACAGACAGATATACCTGGTGTATATACAGGTTTATCTGGGGGGGGTGAGTGCTGCTTATATGGATAAGCAGAGCAAAGAGAAATTCAAACATTACCTTCAGATTTAGGGATTGATTTATTATTTTTTCCTTCAGAGATGGCCTCAGATATTGTACCCATTTTCTTTAAATCTAAAAGCCTTTGTGCACACAAAATATAGCAGAGGCTCTTCATAACATAGAAATGAGCATCTTATGCCTGCAAGGACTGCAGAGAGTGGGTGCCCTTTACAAACATCTGTGCAGGCAAAAGGTCAGAGGCAGAATATTAGAGCCTTTTGAAAGTCACACCTTTAACAGCAAGTATGGTTAGCTAACTTGTGGATACTATTTTAAAAGCAAACATCCTCAAATTTAACCCAAACAACTTTACAGAGGGAGATGACACCCCCTGTATACAACAGTGGCATTGTTTTGTGACACTGCACATTTAATTCCACACAGTTGTATCTCTGTTTATTTATAAAACACCTGTTATTTTAAGAAAGGCTTTACAAATGCATATGGCATTTAGTGCACCCTGGCCTACTTGTTTCCCTTTGTTTATCAAAGCAGTACATGCATTTGTGTCAGTGTACACACCCAATTCCTCAGTTTCAGACAAGCCCATTCTAAAAGATGTGGCTAAGTGTTTCTGACATTTCTTTCTTCTCTCAGCTGCTCTGTGAGGTATTTGACTTTTGGTTGGATCTATACCACTGATGCCAGGAGAGTCTTTTTTACACAAGAAACCGCTATGTTTGCATCAAAGTCTTTCACTGCTGGAAACCAGCCACATTGCAAAATACCCTGACACAACTGAAAAGGCAACTTTGTTCGGAAAAAAAGAAGAGACTGCTTTCTTTTCAGCTTCGGCCAGGGCAGCATTAAAGAAGCGTCTTTTTTTATGTAAAGAGAAACATTTTTCTTGTCACTTCAGAGCCTGTATTTGCCAGAAAATACACACTAGTTTGATTCAATGTTAAGTTCACCATCCCTCCCCGAGCTCCTTTTCTCTGTTAGAGCACATCTCCTCACACCAGCTCTTCAGCTGCTGGTTTGTATATCTCCTAACATGCACATTCACACACGTACTGCCCATGGTTTTAGTCTTGTGATAACCTGTCAGCATATGTTAATTGTTTCTGCCCTTTACAGGATTTACAGCAAAGTGTTCTGAGCCCAAACAATACAGCTTAACCTTTTAATTCTTGCAAAGACTTGTGCCTTTAGCTCCAGAATCTTAAAAATTACTTCTGGGGTGATTCGTTTCACAGAGCCATTAAAGAGCCACCTTGCAGCCTGGCAGAGTCCAAGCAATCTCCTACTAGTTCCCTAGAAAACTCTGGAGAGCAGGAGTGCTGCTTTTGCCCGGGGTGATAAACCAGCACTCCACCAGCCCTCTTCCTGTTGCCTTTGGTACCAGGAGTGCTGAAACACTGAAAACTGAACTGAATGAACCAAGTTGTTCTTGCTTACCCCAGGACACAGCAAACAGTCTTTTTCGAGATGAGAGTACATCAGAAGGGAACTGCACCTCCTTACATCACCATTTCACAGCTTGTCTGCTTGTTCAGCACAGGGATTTCCTAACATGCAGCGGGAAGAAACTCCCTGACAGCACAAAGTGTTTCCCAGTGGTGACCACAGCTCTACAGAAGGGCTGATGAACTCAAGGGCTAGGAGAGGGCTGGCTGCCAGCATTAATGGCAGGTGGACAAAAAAAGAAGTGGGTGTCCCAGCAGATCAGGAGGCCAGAGATGGCTGGTAAGCCACATGATCCACGATGGGCTACGCTGATCATGCTTGTTAGATTTCTCCTGCTTGTAGTTGGAAAGGCATGCTCCCCACTCTCTGGGCTGAGGCAAATATTTCAAAGAGTTTAAAATGATGTTTAGGCAAGGGGATTGCCCTGCTAAGCTCTCAGTGTGCAAGGGGCCTTGCTTCTGAGGTCACTGTGCAAATGTCCCCACCAAGGCTGGTGGTGTTCCAGAGCAATCAGAGGACATGGGCACATGGCATTCACTTCAGGTGGCCAAGAGCCAGAGGAGAAGCCTGGAAAAGAAATGTGCTCCCCAGCTCCATTTCTTCCCCTTCCCCCTCCAACATTCACCGTCTCCTGCCTCGCTCTCACTGCAGGCACTTTGGGACTCAGCAAGAGGGATGTGAAAAGAGGCTTTCTGCTGTTTTCCACTACCCTCTGCCAGACCAACCCTACCATGCTAGGTCTACCCCCTGCTTATTCCCAGTATGACCCTCCCCAAAATCTCAATCGATCAGAGATTTCAGCATCACTACAAATAATCGACTACCTCTCAGGACAGGGCAGAGGGGAAAATGCCTTTCAAGGCAGTGCTGGGATTATACACAGGGAGAGTGCCTTGCCTGCCTTGCCCACGGGGTGTGGGGGGCTCTGGCTGGATGGCTGTGGAGGCCATGAAGGAATCCTTCATTGGGATCTCCACTGGGAGACCAGAAAACTGTAAACATGGCCAGAGCCCTGTGAAAATATCTGTGATGCTGCAGCAAGTGACAGCTGGAATCTGCTGGCACTCCACGTGTCAGCAGGTTGCCTCTAGGGTCAGGAAGAGGCTTTTGTCTCCATGCAGGACAAGTGGACTGCTATGTCCTGAGGTCTTCTTCTGGCTTGTTGTTCCCCTTCTCTGAAGCTCAGAGACTGACCCCAAGTGGAGAAGAGACATCATGGAGGGGAGCTCTGCAATGGCACAAAGAAAGCTCTTCATTTGCTAGGCCAGCATCTCCTTACGCTCTCAATACCAAACTTGTGACCAGGCAGATCCAGGGCAGGGAGGAAGTTTCTCTGACATATCAGAAGACCTAAAGATTTTTTTCCCCCTTCAGCTGTTCTCTGAAGTGAAGAGCAGAGGTCTCCTCCCAGAATTGCTTGAGCATACTTCACCTAACTTGTTTACTGTCATTGCAGAGACCTCACACAGTGCTGCCACTTCCAGGCTTTTCTGTTCTTTGCCTGTAGCACACAATATATTATTCTCCAGAGGACTGAATTTTTTTTTGTAAAACTCTAACCCAATTATATAATACAGACAACAGGGTGAAATTTAACAATCCACAGTAGAAATGATCTTAAGGTCTCAACTGACTCCAGGAAGCTGCAGGGTAGCTAATTTTTGTTTTTAAACAAGAAGTGAGTAATTATAAAGATGGATAAATGCATAAGCAAAGCTCAAAGGAGACAATAAATAAATGGCATGTTGAGCATGCCAGGCAGTTACTAGTATTTCTGCCTCAGTGCTATGGTGAAAAAGAGGGTCTAGCGTTCTGAGCCCCTCATCCCATGCAGGGGACTGCACCTGATATGTGCTCCTGGCTTTTGAACTGCCCCACAGCAGCTCTGACTGGGGACACTTAGTGCCTTGGTATTTCTGTTTCACAGTACTTGCTAATGCACTTATTTTTTTGTGTGTCACTTTGAAGATCCTTTAAACAATGCCCTCAACTGCAAAAATCACTGGCAAAAAGATCTTATTCCCTTGGCTGCTTCTTCCCTGCTGTCCTTCTGATAATCTTTTCAGCAAGGGACAACTGGGGAGCAACATCACTGAGGGCAGAGCCATCAGCTCGTGCTCACCACTGTTGTGATTGACATGACAGGGCTGCCTCCTGCTCTCCCACAGGTATGGTCATTCCTCACGACTTTATGTGACTTTATAAAGTTTTGGGAGTCTTACCAGGCACTTTACAAGGATTTGACTTTTTCTCCAAGTCTCCATCTTCATTTCTGGGTTCAGGAGAGTGAATAGCTTTGTCCTGCTTCTCCTTGTTTCCAGTAGTATTTGGAACAGTTATGTTTTGCAAAGCTGGCTTCCTAGGCAATGGAGGCTTGCTACTAAGCTGTTCAGAGGACTTCACTTTGGGTCTGATCTTCTCATTCAAAGAATCCCCAACATTTATATCAGCTAATTTTTTGATCTGTGCCTTATCACCTTTTAGAAAGGAAGTCAACCTCTCATTTTCTAAATTAAACTCTGCACTGTATCTTTTAATTCCTTTTGATTCTGGTGATGAGTTGTTTCTGTATTTCAAGGACAGTGAGGTGGATCTAAGTTTCACTTGAAAAGGACTTTTATCTTCACAGCTTGGCTGATTCTGAGATACCACCAAAGAGTCGCTTGGCACTGGCACTGCATCAACAGCCGGTGAAACACAAGCAGCCAAAATTTCTGTAAGTTGGCCTCTGTTCTCAGAGCTGGACTCTGGCAGCAAAGCCTGCTTTTTGTTGCTACTTTTTTCCTCCTCCAGATCTGATCCCTTCTGCAAGTCTTCTTTCCACCTCTCATTTCTCAAGGAGACCTTTGCTTTCGACAGGAAGACTCCGGTATTTACTGAGCTCTCCAGCTCTGATCTTTCTGGGAAGTGCAGGCTTCTGGTCCTCGGTCTCTCCCGTGCAGAGGAGACAGAAAACTTTCTCAAGGCATTGAGTTCATTGGCTGCTTTTCCAGCTTTCTTCCCCAAAAGTTCCCCCTTACCAGAAGCAGCTGCCTCTTGTGCAGTCTTTATCTTCTCTAGAGAACAGGAATCAGATGATCCCATTCGTGTTGAGGAAGCAGGATGTGAAACATGGAATGAGTCTGAGGGCTGGAAAGAACCTGTGGGAAACTGCTCTGACAATAGCGTAACCTCTTTCTTTGCCTCTTTGTTACAGGGCATTTCCACAGGTATCTGATCATCCTGCTGTATATTTTCTTCTGACCTTTCCAAGCAAACAATACTACTCTTACTAATTGAAATATCTTCTTTGGATGTTATTTCGTTTACTGAAAATACAGTAGAAAGCTCCTTGTTTTCTTGATTTAAGATATTGACTGACACATTGCTCACATCCCCAGACAACAGAACTGGTGTTTCTGAGGAATCTTCTTTCTTTTGTACTTCTCTGTCTGGGCTGAAGTAGGAAGAAGTTGTTGAGTCTTTGCCTCCTAACAGCAATGAGGACTCAGACTCCACACACATTGTTTCCAGTGTTGGTTGGCAGCCCTCCGGTTCATTCTCTTGTAGCAGGGCTTCCTGTGCAACAGCAGACTCAGAAGGAGTCTGAATCATCGCTGGTCTCAAAGCAGGGGGAAGGTCCTCAGGCATTCTGGGCTTTGGCCAGGAAGCCACATCCTGTGCTGCAGCTGTGTTGCACGGCAGTTCTTGATTGCTGGGTTTGAATACAGCATCTGGCAAGTCTGTCTGCATCTCCTTTTCATCACCCTCTTCTTCTTCTGGGGTACAGCTCAAATCAGGCAGAGATTCAGACTGGGTCCTCTGCAAGAAAGGAATTCAGAAATCACCATCACCATATAACAATTTACTTTTTTCTTACTCATCATTGCATTTACAACCAAGATCTTAGAGAGGAGGGCAATATTTACCTCCAATGCTGAGGTCGCTGTTTTCCTAACCTACATACTGGATGCCTTTTTTATCTAAGCAGTTCCTGGAATAATGTATTTAACCAATATAAAAGCAATGAGTGATACTTCCTTCTGCACAACCAGTGCTTTCATGCCTTTGTAGCTGGGAAGTTCATCAAAACAATGGCCATCGGAGTGTCCTTGGCACTGGATGCCCCCAGGGCATACTGGAGATGTGTTGCTCTTGGGTAAAAAACAGCACTTGAAAGAGAAAAATCTGTCCCTTTGTACTTTGCTACCGTATACTAGCATTAAAAATAAAACAACCCATCCTTGCAGGACACTGAAAGGGAAGGGTACACAGAAGGAAAAGCTAAAACCTAACAAGCCCATCCGGTTGTGCCACTCTATGCCAGCTGAGTATCTGCCCCCATAAGGCAGTCTTCTGTCTAATCCCACTGCCACACAGCATTACAGCCCTGACTCCCTTCTGTAAAAGTCTTCTTTTTCTTTCAAGAGTTAGACTATTTCATAAAAGATTATAAATGCATATGTAGTTATCTGTGAGGTCTTGTGATTAAGTCCTTCCCTTCAGGTAGGACTGGCTAAATATACAGGATTATTTGTAACCACATTATTAAGCTGCTGAATATGCCTTTACATGTGGTGCCCGTACTAGCTCGCTGATTCACTGCAGCTTGTTGGGTAAATATATATTTTGGATGTAGGCCCTAGTTCTAAGAACAAAAAACTTGTATTCTTTTAGGGTCCTTCCAACTTCTTGCTTTGCAAGTGCCATTGCAAGGAGAGAGCTGCAATGCCACCTGCGTTCACAGTCCACGTACGCAGGAACTTACAGGTGGAAGACATCAGTCAGCCAGAAGCAAGGTGCTCAGGCCAAGTCAGGCACAAAAACATTAAAATTTGTGTTACCAGCAGATGTGAGCAGATGTGAACACTCTCCAAGGAAGGCCAGGAGGGCTCAATCATCTGCCTGTGTGTAGGCAGATAGGATTCTATGATGAGTCCACTGCATTTCAGTAACAACGTTAAAATGGAAGAGTAGTTTTGATCAGTGAGTTGTTGCTTACATGGTGTTCTAAATAACTGCCCTTGTCATTGTGTTGCTCACAGCAGTGCTCTACCCAGCCTAAAGATCACAGAATATCAGCTCAGTAATACTTAGAGACAGAGGGGATAATACTCCTGATGTTAATCAAGCCAATTTGATGGCTTAAATGTATTTAAAACATTGAAACAAACCACAAACAATAAAGTGTAAATACTGTAGTAGGACATGCAAAATTTAGTCTTAAAAAGACAAGAGAAAGAAGAAAAATTAAGCTAGGTCCTTCATAACATATGAAAAAGAATTAGATAAAAGGTGTTTTTAAAGGATGGTTTAAATGAAGTCTCTGTAGTGCACATAAAATGTTTTTTTTTTAATGGCATGCACTTTTAAATAGCATACACCTCATTTTTTTTCTGTGGAGATTTAAAATAAGCCTCTGTAGTGCACATAAAGGGATTACAAGTTTCGGGGCAGAGAGAGGAGTGAATTCATAATGGTCCCAATGTAAAGAATTCAGTTCCAATTAATAGGTCCTAACTTATCCTTTCTGTACTTTCTGGAAATATAAGCCCAAATATATTTGGAAAGTTAAAACAGCTCTTCCATCAATACTCTCAGAGACTCAAGATTTTACAGGATCTTTCAGACTCAGAAAAGTACATGAACTGATAATAACACTTGCCCCAACTTCTGCATCACAGAGACTAAACTGTGCTTCAACATAAAGTTAAGAAGATAATGCATAAGTTGATGCATTGTTGCATCAACAGCTACATCAAAAGTTAACAAGTAATCTCATAACACTTAGCCTGTTCCTAGTGTCTACTCCAGATACACAGCCTCATCAAATAATGGCTCTTAAACCCCAGTAAAATATCCATGCCCATGCCAGACTCTCATCTGAGTTGGAAATACAAAGTCCTGTAAGAACTTCTTGGTTTAGTGTCCAAGGTGACACTGTTTGCTTTCACAGGTACCTGAGAAAATCTTCTCATTTTGCTGGATCTCTGGTTCCGGGGTTTTATTAAAAGCTTGTGTTTAGCAGCAGAATTATCCAAGCAAGAGGAAAGCTCAGGTGGAGTGTCAAAATTGGCTGCAGGCGAGATGGTACTGTCAGATATCTGGGGAGCTCCAGTTTTAGCACTTCCATGCCTAGGGAACTGCTGACCGTCTGTAGAGTCAGATCCAGAAGGACTCAATGTAACCTGAAAAAAAACAAAACACAAGTCCCCAAATAAAGACTGAAACAAGACACAGAGACATGAATATAACAATTCTACAAAAAAAGCGACATGTTTATTGGCATTTTAAGGTTGCTTCTTTTTCTTTTTCACATCTTTTTAAAACACATTGCATTTCCTAATGTTGCACATGGAATACTGGTGTTACCAATTTTGCATTTTTAGCCACTTGAATGTTATCCTATACTGTCCAGAGGGAAGGACCAAGGCATATTTAACTAGAAGACCTAAAGCACACAAATAGATGGTCAGCATGTTTTAGAAGACACAGTTATGAAGAGTACTCAGTTACAGTACTCAGTTACAGAATCTACCAGGCCAATTTCCTTTGTGGTCTGTCCTCCAGCATTTATGTCTAGGTTTCTACCCACAGTTATGCTGGGCTGGAGCATCTCTCACTTCCTATACTTCATCAGGTCCCTACAACACTCTCCTGAAGACAAAAGAATCAGATACTAGTGACACTGACATTTAAGTCAGCTTGCATTTCCTCCTCATGTATTTGTATCTGCAAAATAACTAGAGAGTTTTCCTGAAATGTAAAATTTCATTTTAGACTATTCTGGGGAAGGAAACAATGGACAATTCCTACTAGAGGCCAATAACCCATCCAGAAACAACTCCTGAATGCTCCAATGGGTGCAGTACTTTCACAAAGCTGGAATCCAGCTCGCCTGTGCGCTTCACCAAAAACTACTCTAGTCCCAGGGCCGAGGCAAATAGGAGATTAAAAAATTTGTGAAACATGACACTAAAAAGGGCTCTTCCTTTCCCTCTGATTCGTTTTTGCAAAGAAGCAAAGCAGTATTTCCAAACTATCTGTTGTGGCATTAACATGACCTCTGACAACTCATGACAGCACTCCCTTCGTAGGCTTGAAATCCCAGTTCAGTTCATTAGAGGAGCATTTCTTCTTTCCCATGCTTTCTTCTGTGGGCTGTCTTCTTCTTTGTTTGTTTCTTCTGTTCTCTTCTTTCTCTGAACTAGTATTGTACTGCAAGGGTTGGATGGGAGAAGGGGGGGAGCAGTATAGTGTTCATTTTATTTAGGGAGGGAAAAAGCATCAGTTCTTTCCTTCAAGCAGAATTCTGCATTATGCACTGCAGCCAAAGGATACTCTGTGGTGTAGCCAGGGCCTGCTACAGCTTCCTCAATGGCCAGGGGACAACTCCCATTGATTTTAGCAGAGGCTGGATCCACAGCTTCCCATCATGCTATTTAAGAAAAAAAAGTAGCTCAGCCATGCTGAATAATGGATGCTCTCATTAATTTTCACTCTACAGTATCTGCAGTCTAGTACTCAAACATGACTAATGTACAACAAATGATACGTGGCTGCATTATACATTAGTACCTAACAGTGAATACATTGACATTTCAGCTCCAAGATAAAGCCACAGCACATGTTCTCTTTCAAGGCACGTCATTATTTGCCAGCCTCTCTTCCAGCTTCTGCTTTTCCTCGAGAATTCTGCATGTCTTCTTGTTGGCAGTGCTCGGTGTTGGCCATTATGCTGGAAAATCAAGAATCTGGTTTGTTACTTAAATCTCAGCAGCCTGAGTGAATGCCAGCTCTGAGCTGGCTGCAGAAGTTGGCTGTCCCATGAAGTCTGGCTCTGGTGAAGCCTGATGAAGGAGGGGACGTCTGGCAGACCCCTTTCTCCAAATGTCATGTGCACATGGCTCAGTTGTCCTTCAGCTGGTCGTGCTGGGTGGCACAGGGTAGGAGGCCATAAGGGAGCCTCATCCCCAAAGCCCAGATGGAACAGTTGCAATCCCTTCCTCCCTTCTTCCATCCAGGAAAGCTTCCAAGACACAGCAAGGTGTCACTGCTGCCCAAAACCTCAGGGTTGTGCTGTGCAAAACTCCTCAGCCCTGTAAGCTGGTCTCCTCTGACATCTACAAGCAGGGCTGATCTGTCCAAAATCCCATGCAGGAGACTGTGCAGTCTGGGAGGAAAGCCTTCAGCTGGGGCTTCCTTCTGACTGCGCTCTGAAACTGGACAGGGGTGAAGAGAGCTCTGAGTGAAGAAACTGGACTGGGATGAAGAGAGCTCTGAGCAAAACGATGGTGCATGTGGAAAAAGCTGAACAGCCACATAGTCACCACCACATCTCAGGAGTCAGCGAGTGAGTCAGAGAGTGATGTTAATGGAACAACAGGAGGACACCAGTCCTCCTTCAGCAAACATGCATCTGGGCTGCACAAATTTACAGTGAGCCTATAGCAGTTAACAAGAAAAACCTTCTTCATGCACTTTGTTGCTTTTCTTTAAAAATATTAGCATTTCACTGCATATAAGCAGTTTTTCAAACAGCTTCATGTGGACTCTAACAGGCGTGGTCAGAAATCTTTGCTGAGTCCTGCTGCAGCTGGCCTTGAAATACATTTTGCCTAATTAGCAAGGAACAGTCAGCTCAGGATTAGCTCCTCTGTTTCATCTCTGTAATTCCCCTCGACCCCTCCTCCTATTTCTAGAAAATGCTCTTCCCTTTACCCCCTGTGCTGTTTCCACCATGACTCCAGCTGCAGACAACTGAAGGGGATTCTTCAGAGCCTTTCAAAGCCACCCTTTGATCAGCCAGAACAGCTGGCTGCTGATTGTGGCAAGCCATCTATTTGCTTGTGCTCAAGTTCTGAAAACTTCAGCAAAATTCACAGACAGAATCTGACTGAAGGCTGAACCTCAGACTCCTAAGCAGCAATGTCAGCCACTACCATCAGGCAAGCACCTTCTACATCAGTGTGAGGTAACCTTGTACTAAAAGCAAGGGGCTGGGCAGATTTCATAGGATCTAGATTTTATCCACAGCTCCTCAACAAGATGCCTCCCTCATCCTGTGCGTGTAACCCAAGGAGCATTTATTGCAATTTCCCACCTTTAAAAAAAAGATACTGTTTCAGTGTCTACATCTAATTGGTCCTGTTTGGAGATTAAATCATGGCTGTAAAGGACATGAGCTATTCTAGAGGGCTTTATTATTACCAACAGAAGATTACTTGGCGTCAGAATTATGCTGATAAATAATCATAACTTTTATGTTAGACAGACAAGCATTAAAAAAAGCACAGCAAACAGACAGGCGTGCAACTACATACATACAAGGTTGTTTTTGCAGCAGATGGCAAGGAAGTAATATTTATGTCTTACACTTCTTTGAAAGACATAATTGCATAATGGCTTGGCTCTTAATACATACAGCAGAAGTTACCTGTTCTTCTTCTTCACTGCCTGTTCCAGCTAAACTCAAAGAGCTAAGGTGCTTGTGAGAGTCAGAGAACTGTGGGATGGAATGAGGAAGAGATTCAGTAAAAGGTGACAAACGAGGTGGATATAATCACAGAAATTGTCTACACAGAGTGCACACAGATACTGACATTGTAAGCTGGTTTTCTCTTTAGTCTTAAGGATTAGCAGGGACACTGCAAACATAAGGTGTAAGACGTGCAGATAAAGAATGAAATAATGCACAACAAAACTATAATTTAAAAGAAAAAACAGCTTTTTTAATGTTTCTTTTTCTGATGACAGCCTAGAAAAACATTTAAAAAGAGAACTCCCTTATCAGCACATTCAAGGGGAAATACAGATTTTTCAGCCTTTTTTTTATGCCTGTCAGCTCTCTGTGGTCCCTAAAGAACCCCCAGCATCCGCATGCACACACACAAACAAATCCTCTCCTTCCTAGTTCTTCATTTTCTGGCATGATATTTATATTTTAACAGGAACAGAGATTCTAAGTAGCTGTCTACACAGAGAGATAGCATTTTCCCATTTTGACTATGGAATTTTTTGAATTCTTCAGAGATAAAGTAGTGATGCATACAGCAAACCAAATAATTTATTCTGCCTTCCACACATAGGTACAAGTCATTAAACACTGATTTTTGTCAACACTAGAACTACTCACTCTTGTTGAGTCTGAATTTAGGTTTCCATGGAGCGAAGACATTTCTGGAGGGCTCCTGGGTAATCCATCATCTTCAGAACTGGTCCCAGCGTCCTCTGTTCGCTTTGCATGAAGTCCAAATGGAGGTGGAGGTCCCAGTTTCATGGTAGGCTGGAGTTTCAGCTTCAGCGTGGCATAAAATACATCAGCATACAATAGTGATGGAGGTTTCCCAAGACCATTGTTAAGCTCAGGTCAATGAGTTACCTTTATTTGAACTTCACAACTGAATGATCCAGAGCACAGGACATCTCACTTTAGGCATTTTCTTAGGCAGCCAACAACTCTGCATTTTGCAACTATCATTTAAGGAGATACAATACTGCTGTCTAACTAACACATGCAACATTTAATGTAAGCTGCAGACAGATTTTACTTACTACTCAAATGTTCAACCACAAATATTATCCTAAAAAATTAAAAAATCAAGCCTGGAAAGACATTCTACCTCTTGCATTTGAAAAAAAAAAAAAATGTTGTGTAAATTACCTGTAAAGCTTTAATCCGATCAGAAATGTTTTCTTGAGAAAACACTCTTACTGGCCTTGCAGGCTCTTGCCCAGTCTCAGGGATGAAAATGCTATCATGTGACAAAGCTCTGCTTCCCATAATGCCTTTATGTGTCCTAGAATAATATAACAAACGAGTGAAAACATACAGACTTTTTTTGCTAGGCCTCTTACTCTTAACTCAGGTGGTCAGTTGAACAGCAGTGGGAGAGAGGTGTGGGCAGCATACAGCACACACAAGGTTCCAGACTTTCCCATGAATACAATACAGTCATTCAAGCTAATCTAGGTAACACCTCTAAAAACCAAACAGAAATCTGCAAATGCTGTTATCTGTCAGGTTAACAAACTAAAGCAAGGTTAAAGACAGTTTGACCCCAGCCACTAAGTTATATCTTATGGAACAGCTACTGCCCCTTGGCTGGAAGCCATCAGCTGGGTGGTGTGACAGTGTCACAGGCAAGCCCAGGTCCAAAAGGAAGGGAGCACACATAAATGAGCCTGTACCCAAGGTGGACTAAATTTTTGCTAATGTAAGAACGTCTTGCAAATGACTGACCATTACCATAGGAAGAATCAGTATGCTCTACTATTTAAGCCTGGTACAGCATTTAATATATTTCTGCCATACAGGTCATTAACAAAAATATTTCAGGCAAAAGAGTTCTCACAAAGAATCATTTGCATAAATCCTTACAAGATGCTTACAAGGTCCTGTGCTCTATATTAAGATCCTTGGGATTTTATCTCAGAAGCCTGGGGGACACATTTTTTCATGGACTTTCTCTGTGGGCTAGTGAGACAAAGCAGGAGATGCCTTGTGGGTAGCTTCTCTCATATTCTACTCCACTTTTGATGCACGCAGTACGCAACTTCTTTTGCAAATGTTACATGTGGGGCATGAACACCTTGTTTCTTCATGGGAATGGTACAATGAGACCCACAGACAGACAGCTAGCTGCTAGGTCTCCTGTGCTCATTTGCTTTAGCTTAGCTCACAGCCTAACTGAGCACAGACCAGAAATGCATGTACACAGCATTTCCTCTTGGCTTCCCTTCTTGCAAATTGTTGAAATAAGACAGCTATGAAACAGCACAGCAGAGTACAGAATAAAGAACTGTTTGGGTTCATGTAACTATCAAGCTAATGGAGTAGACATTCAAGAGAGAAAAAAAAAAAAGAAAAAAAAGAAGAACTGTGTATATTTGGATCTTACACAATGTCATAGGACATTGAAGAACATAAACAAACATGGCAGAAAGAAACATTTCCTTTGCAATGGCCGCTGTAAATATGTTTGGTAAAACAATAGCAGGAAAAAGTTGATCTGTATTCCTGCAGCAGAAGGGAGGAAAGCCTGCTGCTTCTGCTTAATGCATTAGAGACATTAGAAGAACAATTTACCTAAGTGAAAATGTGATCTCTGCAACACATCCAAGGTCAGACAGATCTACAGCAATTTGCAAAGTGTGTGCCAGTCAGGGCCGGGGTGGCTGCTCAGGGCATGGGCACCTGACAGGGCCTGCAAGGGCAGCCACCCAGCGGTGGTGCTCCCTGAGCACACCCAGCCCAGCACCTTTGCTTGCTCTTCCCAGCACACGTGCACCTCCTGGCTAGGGAGTGGAGGCACTGTAGATGCCTCCTCAGATTATGAGCGCTAAAATTAATTTTCCTCCCTTTCAAGGAGTTTCCTGGTCTTTGTCTGTCTAAACAAATATTGAGAAACAATCACGTAGCAACCCTGCAAGTAACAGCACAGGGATGTGGCCAAAGCAGCCAAAGACTGTACGCCCTCAGAAATGACCTTGTTGAGTCGTGCACAAGGGACAGAAAATCTGACCATCCATGTCTTAAAAATATGTTGTTGAACAACAACGCTGCAGTTCACTGTCAGACCTCATGCTGCCAGCCCAGAACTCCTGGGGCTTCAAGCTGGACTAATGTTACTCTTGCCAATGCCACAAAAGAAAAAAAAAAAGGACAACGTGTTAATAATTTCTTCTGGTGGTTTGGCGCTGCCTGGTGGCCGCGTTGCATAATGTTGGTTTAAATGGCCAGGATGGTTTGCCTCTCCCACCCCTCGCACAGCAGCGTCTCTGCCTGAGGACCAGGAGGCTTGTTCAGAGAGGCATAACATCCACCAATGCAATGGCTTGCTTTTTAGGCAGCCAAGGGGCTCCTCAGTCCATCTGTCCATCCAGGAACACATCTGAATTTACAATGGGTTTCTCATGGTTACCTCTCAGTAGCACTTTTGGCAATGCCTGAACAAAGACAGGATTTTCAGAGGCAGACAGGTACACAGGCTGGGATTCATCTGATGTAACTTCAGATGTTAAATCACAGGTACCTACACTGGAGCTGGTCACCCCTGGTTCCCATTTACATTCAGTGGGGAGAAACAGGCACTTCTAGAGCTTGGTTCATCTGAACAACTTCAGTCATCTACACAAGAACGATACAAGCTTTCTTAGTCATATTGATTGACTTCTCTCTGCCAGTTACAAAAGGCCATTGGTGACTAAGTCAGATGCAGACATGGTCCTTTGGTTAGATGAATCCCATGTATACAGAGTATATAAAGACTCCACAGCCTCTGGTTCCTGCTGATTTCAATTGCAGTCATCTTCTTATCCCTGTCTTTCTTTCAAAACCAGGTGTAAATGCTTAGGCATCTAAATTTCTTTAGCAGTCCTTAGGGGTTACATCTTAGGGGCATAAGATGATCCTGATAAGATATAAACTGAGTATCTAATTCACTTTTGAATATGGGAATTACACTCTTTTGAAATGATAACCCAAGGCTTATTTATGATTAAATGAAAGATTTTTAAGTAATTATTTCTTGCTGCACCCCCTCCAATTCCCTTGCGATTTGTCTTGCATCAATCATTTTAATTAGTACTTCCTTGAAAAAGGCAACTGTGTGAGAATGCAGCACTCTGAACAAGAGAAGGAGGCACTTTTGGGGTGTCTTTTATCTAGAAACATTGTAGCAGTTCTGTATTTGTTTACCAGCCAGAGTCCAAGGACTTACTCAAGTTCATCTTCAGAATCATAATTGATGTGCATGTCGTGAGAGGCGGCGACATCACTTGTTGACTGGAATAACTTCAGGCTGCTACTCCCAGAAGACAATGTCTCTTTCCTCTTCTTTTTAACAAAAAACTTCTTGAAAGATTTGAACTTTGATTTTTTCTTTCCTGAGTGAAGAAACATAAAGAAGATGCAGCCAACAGCATGTGCAAGTTTTTGGAACAATAATAATTCCTTTATAATTTCTGCATAAGTGGATTTTTTTGGTTTTTACAGGAAAATGCAACACAGTCTGCTCTTGCATTAATGTCTTTCAAGACTATACTGATAGCCCGAAATTACTATTACCTTGGGAGAATGGACTGCACTGTTTATGACACGTAAGAAAAAACCTATGGTGTATAATCTTCCCTAATGAGAATTCCTACTTGCCTCTTGAGATAATTAGGCTGTGAAGAAAAACTTCAGTATTAACAGCCTCAGATAGAGAAGAAATTACAACTTGGAAACCCACTGCCTTTTTTCAGCAAGACAAATAATGGTGATAAGGACAATGTTACCAAACCCAATTTAAATGTAGGAATGGCTTACATAGGTGGAATGTGCAGTGGAGGGAGGATAATGTTTTTAAAATGTCAGTTTTACAGCAATCTTGGAATATTCTGAATGCTAATTATGAGACTCAATAGATCACAAAGTATTAAACTAGAAATCAAGCAATAATCTTGAAATGCAATGCTAGTCTGCTCAATGAGGAAAGACCTGAATTAGGATAGGTTGCAAGCTCTGTGACGGAAACCACTTAAAATGAAATCAGCACTTTGCTCAAAACATCCCAACAGCTGGTGCCTGTCCCATGTAAGTTGGCCTGACAGCACTGAGAGGCATCTCTGCCAGTACTTCACTTATCATTGGATCTTGTTGGATGTAGAAGTTCATTTGCTCACACAATGCTACAGAAATCTTATTTCAAATCTCTGAAAATGTCAGAAATAACAGCTCTTGGAAACAGGAGGAGAGAAAGGGAGAATGCATTCTCTGCAGAAACAGATCACTCTGTGATAGAGCTAAGGCATTGAAGCTCAAGAAGTCCCAGCACTTTCCATTCATGGGAGAAGGGAACAATTCTACCTGAATTGTCCTCTCCATCTCCTTCAGTCTCTCGCATCTTAGGGTCCATTATCCTTGAGGAACTCATGGGACAGTCACTAAAGGAAGTAGGAAAAGTGTCAGTCATATCAACAAAATAACAATATTTCACTATGTATGTGTATACATACATACATACAGGCAAGTTACTAAGATACAACAATAGAAAATATTATGTGCGTGCTTTTATATATAAATACATATAAATATGTGTCAAAATACATGTATTATATCTATATATAAATAGAGATAAAAATAAAAAATATCCTATAGGAAGAAGCTTATTAGTCTAAGGTATAATAATTTCCAAAGAATATTTCAGCTTTCCTAAGACAATAGCACATTATCACTTATAGAGTTAATATTCCAGTTAATCAATTATACAACTTCATCAGTCAGCCTCTCCTGACTGAAAACTGAGTTTGAGAGGACTCTCAAATGCTCCTAAAATCATGCATCAGAGGAGGTGAGCTTCTTTGGCTCCCTCTCTGCACCTATTCAGGACCACAGATAAAATGTCTCTGATAATTACAGCATTTGGGTAACATGTACAAGTAACATTAATAAAAACTACATATATTTTGCCTTTATTTATATCCAATTTGAAGTATTTTACAGATTCTATTTTTTCTTTTTTAAGCAAGTTGTGAAAAGGTAATCTTTTTATTCCTTTTTTTTTTGTGTAGACAATAGAAAAATACAAGTAAAAATAAAACAATTGATTTTCTTCTTCTGTATTTTTTTTTTTTTGGAAGCAAAGTATCACTTCACTTATTAAGGTTCCTAAATTAAGTATTTCCAATACATGGCCCAAGCCTGAGGACAGAATGTCTGTAATTTAAAATGCATTTCCACAGCAGTAGTCTGTCTGTGCTCTCTTCACCAGGAGAGCCATAATTTCACAGTCTAGGCAGAATAAAGTCATGGGTGCCACTGACAGGATGGCGAGTTAAATGCTGCAGAGTAATTCTTTGGGCTGTAATGGTGACAGATACTCATGCCACAACCTGGGTGGGAGGGTGAGCACACTGTGGCTATTTTCATCCCCTGAAGTACCAGCAGGCTTAAGTAACAAGGCTCGTAAATTCCAAGAGTTAGTGAAATGGAAAGGAAACATTTATTACTCCAGCCTAAAACACAAAGGGTTGCCTGAACCATCAGCAGGTGCTTGAGCTGGGCTGTGAGGAACCTCTTCTTGCAACAGCCACAGCAAAGGCACCTCTGCTGCCCAGCAGCTCTGTAGATGTCCAGCCAGCCAGACCCACACATCGGCTGTAAGACACCCCCCGACACCACCCAGCAGAGACCAAATCAGAGTCCCACACAAACATGAGGGCAAGCAACTTTGGTCAAGGGCATGTGCCTCACGCAGGGAGAATGAGCAAGGAACTGGTCCTAGGAAAGAACAGACATGGATGATAGATGTATTTTTAAAGTACCTTCCTGCTGGGGGGTGACAGATCAATATGTACTGTGGGCTCAGGGTGCCTCAGGCTCACGCTGTCACGTCACAGCAGCAATGACTGACAGCAATGCCAATCAGTATCTTTAAAGCCTCAGCCACTCTATGCATGCCCTGTAGCATCCGTAAGCTACAGGCACCTGGAGGTGGGATCCTACAGCCTCTCTATAAATTATAGATGCCATAACTCAGATTGCCAGCTGTGGCCCACTGGCCGAGCTCCAATGCATCCAGCTGCAGTCAGGTGAGGGTGTACTTTTTTTTATCCAAATATTTGTATGTCACACATCACTAGTTCTGAATAGCAAAGCCACTGGGGGATAAACACCCACACAGTATGTTAGTTGGAGACATGCAGGCAAGTATAAAAATGTTCCCCATGGCAAAATTCAAGCAGATAATATTTCTGACAAAACAGAAATGTGTTGTCCCATCCCAGACCATAGCAGCCAATTTTCTACAGAATAAAAACAATTTTTAAAAAGTTATCTCCACCACAATGACAAAGATTTGTGTGACTGATTTGTGACATCTGAGGTCACAAAGAGCATTGTCACTGAGTCCACCAAACACTGGGGACAGTAATATGTGACCAGGAGTGTGACATACATCTCCTCACATAGGAGAAACGGACACTGAACCCCAATGAGCTCTCTTTGCCAGCCGTGTGCGTTGAAGCAAGGTCTTCACTCCCCTTCTGACCTCATGTGCCCATTCTTCAGGTCTAACATATTTTTACTGTTTTCTAAGGTTATTTTAAAAATTAGTGTGGCTTTCCAAAAGGTGCCCAAGACCTGGGGAGGGTTACCCACAACTGCTGTGCTTTTGGGGATGTCCTTGCAAGAGTGCAGCACAGGACACAGAGCTGGAGCATCGGCTTGTGAGAAGGAGCCAGGTCCTCGGCCTGTGTTGAGAAATTGGGTACGCTACTTCTACAGAGCTTGGTTAGCATAACTTGCTTAGCTTTAGTGGCTAAATTTGCTGAAGCCAGAATTGGCCTGCCTAGAGACAATGAAAGGACTCAGGGAAGAACAGGAGGATCCCAGACCCTAATATTACTCCTGGTCCAAATTGTCACATGAGGGGTGGGGAACGTAGATTGTAAGGGTTTAACTGCCCAGGGATTTCTCTCTTTGAGGTCACTCTTCAGAGGCAGCCAGCTCAACCTGTAGTGCTATTAATAAAAAGTACTTTTATAGAGGAATCTACCTCTTGACTTATCAATTCAGCAGAAACTTGGAGTCAAGCCCTGGTATGATGGCCAGAATGCATACTTCCCATAACAGTTTGGTGATTGAGGTAGGACTCTAGGCAACTGCCACTGGATCCCCTCATGTCCAAATGTCCAACTGCTGGCATTGGGTGAGTTCACCTGGGAACTATGGGGACAGGAGGCACCAACTAGTGAGTGTTACAATTCTGCTACTAAATACTAGGTATTTTGGGTCCGAGTGAGTTTGAGTCCCACCTTGGAAGTCTGAGTGGGTCTGAGTTCCACCTTGGAAGGACATCTCAGAAGTGCACTATGAGAAGTGTGTGCAGCCTGATCAGCATAAGGCGCATGAATTTGGCATACAGATATGGGGAATGTATCTGGCATTGAGAAGGGGACGCCTTCAGCCAAGGTACCAGAAAACTGGAGGAAAACAGATAGCACTGCAGGTCTATTGAAAAAAATGAGCACTGTGTAAGGAGGACTGGCCAGCACTCAGAGGAGCCAGGGTATAGCCCCACAAAGGATTCTTTGAATTTTAAAAAGTGGCTATGCTCCATAAAATTGTGGAAAACAGAAAACCTCAGCAAATGGATTATTTGTATGTATGGGATAGTTGGGCATATGACCACCATAAAGAGGATGGTCGAAAACGAGTACAAAAACCTCGAGGACGAACATTAGCTGCAGCAATCGTACCTGAACAGAGGCACCTGCAGAGGCTGTGTCTGCACCACCTCACACTCCTCCCTCTGTATCCCTTCCTGTTGACTCCCCTCCCGTAGTTTCTGCTGTGCCCATTGCTTCTGCTGGGCTTTACCCTGTGGTTTCTAATGTTATCCCTAATCCTCTTATAATGCAGCCAGTGGTGTGTGTGTGTGAAACGTCCCTTCCCCTACCACTGGTGTTACACGTATACACCCATCACCCCTGGGACCCTGGGGATTTGGTTTTGTGTGGAAATAAAATGTCTAGGTGAAATGCTGGGGTCTGAACCCCGAGCCCCGAATTAAGGTTGACATATGGGTGATTCCCACAGCCCTTCATACAGAGGTGGTGAGTTTGCCTTAGAGCTTCCCCCCAGGGTGCGGCCGGCCCTGCAGGGAGAGCCAGAAGGGAAATGAGCCCCAGGGGTCCCGCACTGAGTTGACAAAGGTCAGGGGTCTGCTTGGGGATAAAAGCTGGGACCACTGGCAGGGGGGGAGAGGGGCGGGGGGGAGAGCTTCCTGGTTCAGGGCAGACCTCCTGACTCTCCCTGGAGCTGGGCCCCGGTCTGTTTAGACCTTTGTGAACGTGGGCCGATCGGGTGAGAGTCGCCATGTGGGCACCTTTATCGTATATGCTTAGCTTGCTGGTCTGGCTGTTTCCCATGCCAGCTATGGGAAACCTTGGTTCACTGTTTGTACCACCTGTTGTGGGCCGAGTCACATCTTTTGTGGGATCGTTGGGGGTGGTGTCGATCATGTACCAGCTGATTGATCTGTTTGTACCCCCAGTGATCATTCATGAAATGTCCTTCTTGTCTATGACACAGTCTGTGCATTGGTTCATCTTCCTGCAGGCGGTATGATTTTTGTTCGGCCTGGTCATTGGCAGAACAATAGGTTATGGGAAGATGCAGGTCAATGGGCACCATTATTTCTTCAGGATGTGACCCATCCTGGGCCAATGTTGATCTGTTGTTGAGGGAGTTGCTCCATCCAGAAGAGCAGGATAAGATAGCTGAAAAGAGTGTAGAGTTGACCCTACAGGCAGGGGTAAGTCTGACTGCCTGGTCTCAGGCTGATCCTGGTTAGAAGAGTAATAAACAAATAGATTGAGATAATTTCTGAACAGTTGTTAGAGATCCAATAAATGTGATTAGAGCTAGTGGCGAGATAAGAATAAAATTACAGGAATGCAGACAGAGCCCAGGGGAACACCCCAGTGACTAACGGGGAAGACTGCAACAGATTTTATGGATGTATGGGGGAATGACTCGCCAGAATTTTAATAGTGAACTGGCAGCAAGTGTGTTTGTGGACCGAGCTGCCTCTGACATCTGCAACTATTCTAAGGATCACATGCTGGGGTGGCAAGGAGAAAATCTAAGAGATATTATAATATGTGGAGGTTCTAGGCTTGTACAATATGTAGATGATTCATTTCTTGCCAGCAAGACATATGAAGACAGCTTGGAAGCTACTATTTCTCTGTGTACTGCTTTAGCAGAAAAAAGATCACTATGCATCTCTTTCTAAGCTTCAGTTGTGTCGTCAGGAAGTAAAATATTTAGGATTTATATTAACAAAAGGACAAAGACTGGTAGGCCCAGAGTGGGTCCAGACTACAGTAGAAATGCCTTGACTGGTAACAAAGAAAATGATTGTGAGGA